GATTTGTAGTTCTTTGTCAGACAAGCGTACTAAAACATAATGCTTTTGGTAAATGTTAAACAATTGTGATATGAAAATTCATTCAATCATTTATCTTCCTTTGGCTTAGTGCCATATTTATTAGAGGTTCCACAGCGGAATGAACCACCATATTGAAGTCATTACTATAAATGTTAAAGTTAGACTACAGGTTAAAAATGACATCATGTTATGCTTTTGTAGGCTAATAATTATGCTTTTAATTACTTTTGAATTATAATTGTGAGTTTTCTATTTCAACTGGTATACAATAATAAGGTTTTTAAGTCAGAATTCCAACGTTTATCTAATAATTATGAGTTGGTAAATGCACATTTACTAACACTTTTTACTTCATATTTCTTTGTTGTAATTTTGAGCCTTTGCTTTATTTCACCGTGTGTGTGTTTGTGAAGCTAACAATAAATATGGACCTTCAAGGGACTTTTTTTGTACTTGCGAGAGAGAAAAAAAGCTAATTTTTAAAAATGGCTTGGGTCTAAGGGTAGGAGGATATATTCATTCATTCAATTTCCTTCAGCTTAGTTCCTTTATTCAACAGGGGTCGCCACAGCTGAATGAACTGTCAACTTATCCAGCATATGTTGTGGATGCCCTTCCAACTGCAACCCACTTCCACATGAACACACACTCATACTACGGCCAATTTAGCATATTCAATTCACCTATAGCACACGTGTTTGGACTGTGGGGGAAACCGGAGCACAGAAGAGAACACACCAACACAGGTAGAACATGCAAACTCCACACAGAAATGCCAACTGACCCAGCCAGGACTTGAACCCGGGACATAACCACCGTGTTACCCAAGGATTCATACAGTATAAAATCCCTACTTCCAAAAGAAGTCCCGATAAAGATAGTTGTACAACTGTGCATGTGTGTTCACAAGTAAAGCAATAACAGTCAATGTTGACCTTTTAGTGACATTTTTTGATCCTTCTGAAGAAATAAATAATAAATAATGAGCTATTTTAAATAATGTAAAAATGGCTTGGGTTTAAGAGTAGGAGGATATAATTTACAGTATAAAAATCTTTACTTCTAAGGCAAGTTGCCAAAAAGATGTCTGTACAATTGTGCATGTGTGAGTGTATGTAAGTAAAGCAATAACAGTAAATGTTGACCTTTTAGTGACATTTTTTGGCACTTGTGAGGAAATAAACAATAAATTTTAAGCTATTTTGAATAATGTAAAACATGTGCAATGTAATAATGGACTGGGTTTAGGGGTAGGAAAATAGGTATTAAATACAGTATAAAATCATTACATCCATGGGAAGTCCCCACAAATATAGTCAACTGTGTGCGTGTGTGTGTGTGTGTGTGTGTGTGTGTGTGTGTGTGTGTGTGTGTGTGTGTGTGTGTGTGTGTGTGTGTGTCGCCTGAGACAAAACTATAGTTCACATGACTAAACTCCACTTTTATGTTTAAAGCTAAATTAAAAAGCTGGCATGCCTTGAGCAGTTATATTTGTATAATCTGGTGTAAATACCCTGGTAGAAACACTTATTAGAAATTTCCATAATTTGCCTCTCCACCCTTATGCGACAATTAAACAAAAAAGCTTTCACATGTCTCTTGTCTTCCCACATGAAAAAAAAATACTACAATAATTTAATGTAAACAGTAAAATGTATTATACTGAATACATTAGTATCTACAACTTTGTGTGGTTCCTACATCATAGCGTACAATGAAATATAGTATGATGATAATAAATACTGTAGTATACTTTAGTGTTTTATACAGTAGACATGGTGTATTGTAATACAATGTAGTTAAAAAAAACACTACAGCATTGAGCCATTTGTTATATGGTAGCACAATCACCTCACAGCAAAAAGGCTGCTTGTTCGAGGTGTAAAACTGGATAAGTTGGTGGTTCATTCTGCTGTAGCGACCCCTGATTAATAAAGGGACTATAGCTGTAAAGAAACTGAACGAACACGATATAATAAGATAATTAATGAATAAAGCACTTTTTAAAAACAACAAGTGCTTAAAGTGCTCTACGCACATCTAAAACAAAAGACAAATACAACAGATCTTTCATTGGTATTTAAAGCCAAAGCGTAAAAATGATTTTAAGACGATTTAAAAACAGAAAGGGAATGAGTTGTATTACAGCAACTATACCAGTATTCGCCTAGTTTAAAACACTATTTATAAACCACTAGTTACAAGCCTAACGTTATATTTTTTCATTTGGGTTTTCAACATCCCTGCTAAACTAAAATAATTTGGTTGTTAGCTAACTGTTAAGCTAAACACACACGGCAGGCAGCAAACATTCACCCCATTCTTAGAAAGTATACAAACTCTTTGTTTAGTTTTTTTTGCGTCAAAGAGAGTTTACAACAAATAGCCTATTCCTGCTATCTGCCAAAAAAAACTTCAGCGTAGGAGTTTGAGAGTGTTTCCAACTGCCTGTTCATGCTGAAGTGATTCGACAGAGAGCTAGTTTGTGTTTGTCGTCAATAAAGCGCCGCTGTTCTCGCTGCTCATTTCACTGTCAAATGAGGGAGAGGCTAAGCAGCTGCTGATCACATACCCATGCTTTTCCTGTGAAACACTGGAAATAAACACACATACAGTCACATTATAAACCTCCCGGCTGATTCCAGAAGTACAAAAATGCTAATTTGTGTATTGACTATGTCAAACGACATTAAATTGACATCTAACGATCGCGTCTAAAATTTATAACAGGACCAGATTTTCGAGTTGACGTCGCTTTTACATCAAGGAATCTTACATGCACTGATACAAAAGCTCTTGTCAATTTGTAACTGAAGCTAAAAGATGAATAAAAATTTTCTTTTCTTTTTGTGTTGTCATTTTGCTGGTCCAAATTACATCAATGAATGGACGTCAAATTGATGTCAATGTTTTGACATCAAATCGATTTGCATTTTTGACGTTTTTGACGTCCTGCTAAATGTCAAAGTCAATGTTTATAAGTGCTTTTTAAAAACACACATTCCACATCTAAAACAAATGATACAACAGATAAGACTCATATGTTTATTTAAAGCCAAAGAAATTTTTTAAAGATATTTAAAAACAGAAAGGTTAGCCTTCCTAACATGGAGAGGCAATTTTTTCTAAAGTTTAGGGGCAACTGCAAAGGCAAGGTCCCCCCTTGATTTCAGCCTTGTGTGTGAAACAGCATAAGTGCCCTTGATGGAGTGTAAGTGAATTAACGCAGAAAGGTAGTCGATTAGGGGATTTAAACTAAAATGTATCCTAAAATGAACAGAAAGACGGTGACCAAAAGCCAGTATGGATATAATGCGTTCTGGTTTGCATGTTCCTGTCATTCTGCACCATCTGCAGGTTAGTAAGAAAGGGATGGCTATCCACATAGAGGGCAATGTCACCTTGACATCAAGGTTCCCGCTGCGATATATAGGCCTGTACATACAAAAGTCTTTCTCAATTAAGAAAATTAAGAGACCACTTATAAAATCTTGGTTTTGTAGCCTACTTATAAACTAGTAATTTATTGTAAATATTACTGGGGTTTAGAACAATGCTATTTAAAGTACAGTATCTATTTAAATCTCGTTGGTAATGAACGCTACAGAATACTGAAGTACTTACTATTGAACCGATAAACACACCACACTTCGGTGTGGTTTTATTTTCACGGCTGAAAGTGCATTGAAGAGCAAATCCATCGATGCGCAGCTCCACAAGTCCCAAACCAAGAAAGCCAGTGACGAGGAACAAACATCACCAATTGACGAAAGTGTAGGAAAAAACCTCAAGAGAGACCAGGCTCAGTTGGGTACAAAGATTTCCCCTCTGGTCATATTTCTTATGCAGAGCTGCGGTCTAGCTATAGATGCCGGAGGCTGAAGAACGCTGGAGTCCATCGTGAAGTAGCTGCAGGTGTGAGTAGGTCACCAGCGGGTGTACAGGCTGGCCCAAGAGATCAATGCGGAGACTTGTGTGTCACTGAGGTCTTTCAGGAATCACTCTCATGCTCCATGTCCACCACAGCATCTGCTAAAGAAACGGCCTGGTCCAGGGTAATGGAGACCACTGGAAGTCCTCTAGTTGGCATCATCTCTTCACAGGTCTGGCGTACGATTCACGCAAACTCTGGTCCGGTTCACTTCTGGTGTGAATGCAATCGTACCAAATAACGGAAGTGAACTGCCAACTGTGCAACAAACTATAATTTTTATAATGTTCATTCGTGTGTGTGTCTCTGTATCACGTGCTTTATCTTGATTACAAGTGGGACTGACCCAGGGCAATCAAAGTGATAATGTGAACGTTTATTAAATTTTTGCGTCAGATGGACACGAGTCGCATTCTGAATGTCCAAAACGAAAAGATTCAGTAAAAGCAGAACGCAATGTGCGCACGTCTTTCCATTTTGTCGCTTTGCTTTCGTGGCCGTCACCTAGCAACAGCCGTACACAAAACAGCAGCTTGATGACGTAAGCGTACCGGGGTTCAGAAGGGAAAAAGACGGTGTGAACACAAACCAACTGAGAAGTTGGCAAGGGGGGGACAATCGAACTTGTAATATAATGTAATGTGCATTTATATAGCACATTTATCATGGATGGCCATACACACAAAGCGCTTCACAATCATTAGGGGGGTCTCTTCACGCCACCACCAGTGTGCAGCATCCACTTGGATGATGCGACGGCAGCCACAGGACAACAGCGCCAGTGCGCTCACCACACACCAGCTATTGCTGGAGTGAAGTAATGGTGACAGAGCCAGTTCGGTGGAAGGGGATGATTGGGAGGCCATGATCGTAAGGGCCGATAGAGGGACTTTGGCCAGGACACCGTGGTTACACCCCTGCTCTTTCACGAGAAGTGCCATGGGATTTTTAATGACCACAGAGAGTCAGGACATCGGTTTAACGTCTCATCCGAAAGACGGCGCCCACTGACAGTGTAGTGTGCCCTTCACTTTTACTGGGGCATTAG